TCCAATCCATCTCCCACTCTGCCCCCATCCCATCATCCTACCCAACTCCCACTCTGCCCCATCCCATCATCCCACTCTGCCCCCGTCCCATCCATCTCCCACTCTGCCCTCCAGCCCATCATCCAATCCATCTCCTACTTATCCCCCTTACAGCTATCATCCTTATCTGTTTCTTACCTTATCCCTCCCATGTATGCACACAGACGTACAATGTACATGTACATGAGAGTAGTTACATGTACATGTATGTATGCCACAATTAAAATCTTTTAACATTTGGGAGTTCAATTTCTTTATAATGTATTATGACACTTCAAAACCTGCATGAAGTCCTAATACTGACAAACTCTATTAAAACAAACAAGTACAAATGACACACTATTACCCATACAATGCAAAGCAAAAACTTTAACATTAGTCGGACGGCCGGGAAGGCTGGACGGATGGATGGACGGAGGACAGAAATCAACATTTGCTTTGCAGCTTGCCCAAACTGAGCAACCAATAACAAAATTAAACATAGGATATGAAAGGTCAGGTATTTAGAGACAGCTTTGGAACAAATGTTTAAATGTGTGGGAAAGAATATACATAAGGGTTAATCCAGTGTCTTAGCTTTTGAAAATGTATAGAAGCTGAAGGCGAAGATTAAAGAGTCCTAATCCATCAAGCCTGTAAATTATTTTCTGTGGACAAGCTTCATTGAAGCAAAGCCAACATGTACTCAACAAATTCATAAAGATTCGGTACTAGCCTGTACTACTTTGTGCTGAATTACGAGACTACCAGTAAGGAGGTTACCAGCACAAATCTTACTGCAGACACAAAGAAATACTTGTGCACCAAACTCCATTTCACCTTCTGTAGTAAGTAAAAACGAGCATACCTTGACATAGTTAAAGCTGTTATCTCCCTCTTTTTTCATCCTTGAGAGGGTAGCTTGAAGAATACGCCAAGTCACAGTCTTCCCACTTCCAGTCTTACCAACAATCATGACTGAATGGCGAGAGTTCTTAGTCTCGTACAACTGGATAACTTTCAGAACAGTAGTCTGTATAGGTTGGTAGCCCTGTGTCTTCAGTTCAGACTCGATCACAGACCTCATCTTTTAATGATGAAAATAAATGGACCAGCTTATTAGGATTGATAATTCTTACTAATCATTTGTGAATCAACTTCTGAGAGTACTGTCAAGTGTAACAGCATGACTCATGGATGGAAAAATCTAATAGGCACATCACCCTTGCAAATATACATGTAAACCCACTAGAACATGCAAATGTGTGTAAATCAACAACCTGCCACACAGCAAGGGCAAAATACAAAATTCACTTTTCTTATTAAAAGGCATATGCAATTAAAAAATGCACTAAAGGTTTGAAAAGTACATGTATTTTCACTGTTAGTCTTTTTACAGGCCTACTTGTGGATTCAGTTCTATTAATGGGCCGAGATACAACACACTGAATTTAATTCAGAAGATACCGAGTTCATTAAGCAGGGAATAGAAACCTAATAAATCATAAGAGTATACTACATAGGTTTTACACCACGGTAACAAATGGTAGACATGCATGATAACAAAACTGATTTAATAACAGAGCAGGTAGAACCAACACTATGTAGATGCAATCTTTCAAGTTTCCTGAAGAAAATGTTGGGTAAATAAGACAAATGGAATTCCAACTTTCTGCCCAAATCAAACATATTGTGATATTTATTTAAAGTCTTTGAAGGATCTGTGCTACAATCAAGTCAAAATATGATAAAAAGAGCATGCATGTACTCGTTTCATTCATAAAGATACCCATTCCAGGATGACATTTGTAAAAGTGTATTTGTAAAAGTCAGTACAATTTTTCTAACCTTGCCGTAATCTATGATTGGCGTGTCAACTCCAGGGAAGAGATCAGCCACTATGCCACTGAACAGAGGCAAGTCAATTGCTGTCATCTTGGGTACATTCATGTCTTTCATTGCTAGCAACAGAATCTGCAAATATATACAGCAACAGTAACTGGTAAAGACATAACATGTGCACTACATTATCTTTCTGCATACTGTCCAAAACACTGAGTACCCTCTGGTTCTTTTCAGAACAACACATACTCAGAAAGAGATATCCTTGCATGGTGCTACCCCAAACCTCTATAACTTACTTGCTACCTTCACCATGAAAAGCTTCAAAGCTTGTAACATGATGATGTAGTTATCACGAGTCAAAGACTTACTGTCACCTTAAAATGCATGTTAAGCCCAGTTTGATAACCAAAGACATAAAAACACCCACTGTAAATCTGGCACACACAATTATGAAAACTGAAAAAAAGTTGAAACAGCTTTGTGCTTGTCTCGTGATTGTGATTATGTGCTTGTGATTACTCCCTTTCTTAAGTAATTGTGAACTGCATGACAGATCGATCAACTTCCTAAAATAAGTTTGATGGTTTTGTAGGTTAGGATACACTGCAGTAAGCAGCCATAATATCCACTCCTCCCACCTCTTCATCTGGCACAGTAGGTGCTGCTCTTTTTTTCTTGCCAGCATAACGAAGAACCGATGTAAGAGCACGCAGCCCAAAGTCATAATGGTCTTGCTTGGAAAGTTGTTGAACAGCCAGTGAGTACAGTGTATGTACCTTCTTTGCTAGAACCTGTGATAACAAATTAAATGATCAAATGGGCATATCACAGATTAGTTAACTGACACAACAGTTGGAATACAATGTCCAAAACATTTCAAAATACAAATGTATGAATACTTATGAAACTTCCTATTGGTTGAGAGCTCATCATGTTTAACCATCTTAAATAGCTGATAAAACACCAGTCAGCAACAAAAGTGGCCCCTGAATGACATATTTTTGCATGTACATGTATTTCTATGCTACACTCAATCAGTATGTGGGATATGACTACACAATTTTGAAATGTATTTGTTTTGATTAAAGAAACTAAATTGTTCTTCCAAAAGAGGATGGGTTTTGAAGCCGAGGGAAATTTGGAGTAAGAGAAATTGTAAGTTAGAACCCTTTAAAAGAAGCAATGAACCTAAACTTCTTGACCAAGCCTGAAAAGTTGATTTGGAACACGAGTTGATCTGTTTATCACCTGCAAGTTGTGCACAGTCAGTATATCTACATTGTAATACTTGTTCCACATCTTAACATGATATGGAATGAAAGTGAAGTGAATGGAAATGAAGTGAATGGAAGTGAAGTGTTAATCCTTAAAGGCAATTTCATGCAGGGGCCACTCCCGCACTTAAAAAATTGTTACTGAAAATATTAAGACAATTCAACCAAATTCAAAACATTAATTTCATACAAATGCAAATAGTACGAACGTTCAAATTAATATGACTTTTCATGTACATGTACAGCTATTTGTTGTGCTTAAAATCTATGAAAAAGTAAAAAAATATTTTAAAGGAAATGATACAAATGCAAAAACATAAACATAATTTTATGCACAATGAAAAGATTGAGGACCATGAAAACATACTTGACATTTATTATATGCAAAAACATTCTTTAAACCTCTGATGGCCATAGGAATGAAGGAAAACTTCCTTCTATTAATTTTGCAAGAGGAGCATCTGAGATGGGGTCATCATGGTGGAAACTTTTTCCCTTTTCATGTCAAACCAATTATCAAAAATTGTTTTCTTTTTGAATAATCAATAATAATATAATAATATAATAGTAATAATATTGAAACCGACTGGTTACAGATTACAAAAATATATCAAATTTTATGATTGAATGTTTAGTTGATGACCAAAAAGTAAATCTGGCTATAATGCTAAAATTTGTCAGTGTATGGCTAGGGTGATAATCCATTCCTTTGCACAATGATTCCATGCGAAACTTCAATGTTTCTAGAAATTTCAAACCCCAGCCATAAATTGGGAAACAAATTCGCAGTTGATAGCTCGTGTTGCAGATCTTCAATGGATTTGTTCGCTACAGTTCAGCCACAGCTCTAGCCATTAGAGTTGCACTACACCAAATACGCACCCCCAGAAAACAGTGAAAAATTAGACCAAAAGCAAAGAAATACGACCATTTGGTGGAATGCAACCTTAGAGAAGTGCATCTTTTGCACACATTGACACTAAGTAACCAGCACAACTACTACAGTATATGTAGGTGTTTGGGTATATCACCCGACTATATGCTTCCTCACAGTGCAAGCATATATTGCAACCTTCTTTTTTTCAGTAATTTCCGCCCCGGGTTGACTAATTATTACACCATGCATGTCCATAAAGGTGACTTGTAGATAATCAGTAATTCAATTGTCCATCAGGCTGCTTGCAGTCAATGATTCAATGGCATGGGATTGGGGGTTGGCTTAAATGATGTCCCAAGACTGTTGAACATGGAAGCTAGTTGACCACCTCCTAAGTTGCTTTTTGTTCATGTAAGAACAAATGATCTTATTATGGTTGATTCATTTTGTTTCAGACAATGTTTTTGGGTATTCATGCTTGAATACCTTATGCAGCTCTCAAATACAATTCTAGTATGGTCTGACACATATGAGAAAATGGACACAATCCCCTTGTCACTAGCTGGGGGCAGCTGTGCTTCACCACCCACAGTTCCAATGGTCTCAGTTCCACGTTTCGTTACAATGGGGTACACCTCCGGTATTGCCAGTGGGTAATGAATACTTTATGCACTATCTTACGGTATGTACAAACGTACAACAATAATTGACTATGTGGAATATGTACAATACATGTAGTTGAGATTACATCTTATATAAAGTTAGGGTTGGAAGAGTTATGGCATTAAATGCTAGGGCTTTCCTTAAATAAAAAAAAAAGATTAAATGAAAAATGAAATACATAAATACTTAAATATATTCCCCCAACCTTTAAAACTTAATGATATTATAAATTGTGTGTGCATTCTTATTTAGATTGGGAGTTGGGTGTCCCTTTCTTGTGTAGGTGTGGCAGTCCTCTTTAATCCTTCGGGTCAAACCTTATGCTTGTGGGGTAGTGTGGACTGCCACTGCCTCATTCAAAGTAATTGCTTTAATAGAATCAATTCCACAGTAAAACAGGATGGGAATGGATGCAAGCTAGATTCAAATGTTACTTACAAGTCAGGATCTTAATTTCAGCTGTGAATATAATTTTTCCGCACCATCAAGGGGGCTTACACTCCAACCGTTTGTCCCAACAGTGGAAATCAGGCTACATACACTTCACCCCTGGGGATGACTAGAGCATGCTGGTCAAAACATCACACTCAACGGTTCTTATCAGAACTATACCTCTTCCAAAAGCAATTGATCTATGAGGTATGTGTTACTGAAAGCCCTCTCTTTAGATTGGGTTATTTTGAAAATTAAGTTCTGGAATTTGGATTAATCACTTTTCCACTTTACAAATACTGGTCTGGTTCCCCCATGTTCTAAGGGGCTGGCACTCCAACCATACGTACAAATAGTAGAAATATTGATTGTTATGGTTATATTCAAATTTGAGTCATGAAGCACTTAAAATGGCTTGTTTGCAGTCCATGTGACAAGTGGTTTGAGGCAAGTGTGTCCAAATTTTTGTGTGGCAAACAAGGGTGCCAAAACTTGTTTCGAGGTGGGCCTGCCAAAATTGTCCAGTGCCAAATTAATGCAATGTTGACTTGACAAACCGCTTTGTTTAATGGGTCCTTGGCCCAACTGTTGGTTAATTTATGTTGAATAAATGCAGCGTTAAGCAGTTCCAGAAATTACAACACTTCCCAAAGGTGTTTTTATGACGTGTCAAAGAAAAAATACAGGGAACCTTAATAAACCTAACAGTGACATAGAGACAATCAATCAGTGTTACAGGTTTATTGCAATAACAAATCAACAAGGTATGCTCAACTCTATATGCCTCACATGGTAAAGCCAACCACTTGATTACTATTACCAAAGGATACTTCACTACTTGCCAACAGCAATAACTCTCACATAATCAATGTGGAATGTCACCCTAGTCAAGGTTGATCAAGGGACAATAACCCTCACAGGAACCCGAACATTCTGGGTAACCCTCAAGGTAAGCCAGCTCAATGGCTAGAAAATATCAACTCAATATCAACTGGCTTTTAACCCCATCTATGGTTTTCATATACAGCAATCTATCTCAACAAAACACTGTACCACTAGCTTTCAGCCAAGGGTTAACAACTGAAGCTCAAAACTGCTCCCACACTAATCCAGACCCAAATTAACAGTTCACCACTCTTACTCCACCTCTGGTTGACACAGTATGTCTATCCGTAGCATTCCTCGTTGCAATATCCAACAATCCTATAGCTTTCTCACAGTACAAAACTACACAGCGAACTACACACAGCATTCTGCAGTGATAATGTCACTTTGCAACCCAATAATGAACTATGCCCACCTTAAAGCATGCTGCAAGTGACCAAGACCTAGCACATAATATGCGCTGCTCATTGGTCAATGCATGTATTAATAATTAACAGCTAGACTGGCATCTATGCCTATCCCTATTTTGCCACAGTATAGTTTTACAGCTGTAGTCCAACATGAAGGAATTTGCTACTGCTTCAACTTCCCACTATTTTGATGCTGTACTTAGAGGCATTAATGACTCACTTTACCTTATTTAGTTACCTCATCCACTTTAAGCGGAAGCAAAAAAAATACAAAAAACATGAACTGGTGTAACTATTTTACTACTTACCCTTGTATTATTGAAGCCTTCACCAAATAGGATTATTTCAGCGATATATGCAGAATCTGGCACCACCATGGAAATTGGACGGAACATGGACTTCAAATTATCAGGCAGCTCAGTGCGTCCGGCATAACCTTCACAATTGCATAAAAGGATAAAAACGTTAATAAAATAAGGCAAAATAGCACATAATGGATATAATGCAAGTAAATCCAATACAGCAAGGCAGCCTGTTTCTTATGTATCTTCATTACAAGGTTTGAAAACAGCCCGTTCTTCTACAAGGGTATAGCTAAGCTCTATCATTAAAATATTTCATTAAATTTCTATAATTCACGCTCCCACAAGCAACTTGTTAAAGTTGAGCAAAATTTAAATTATCTATGGTGATTTCTGAACTCAAAACTTTTAGCTTGCATTCCTTGATCTGACTGAAGTTAATTTCAGTTTCTCAAAAATCTATTTGTTGAGATCTGGCAACTTACAGGTCTTGACATCTATTAAATGACGATTATTACAAGATTAGCACAAACTTAGCTCACAGTTTTGTTCTGGTACATGTAACAAGCTGGACAATCAGGTGCCATAAGATATGCTAATGGAACACAGTTGTATATATATATATGTGTGCAAATATGCTTGGTTATTAAAATCACACCTATAATACTCACCTGGATTCATGGTGATGAAAATTCCACAAGACCAGACCAGGTTGATCTCTCTGCCTTCAAAGACAAATCTGGAGTGACCGGCTGCCAATGCAGAAAGGATGGAGAGAATCTGCTGGGCCACTACTGACAGTACCTCTATGTTGATACGATTGAATTCATCAAAGCAGCCCCATGCACCAGTCTGCAAATTTAGAGCAGATTTAACTCAGTTTGTATCACCACCCAACATATAATCTGAAACTTTCAGGGCCTCTGTGCAATAAGGCTTAACGATGGACAAATGAACAGCAGATGAGACACAGTGTAGTAGTTAGTGCAACAAAGTCTCGACAGGAACAAAGGACAGGCCTACGTGGGAAAGAAATTTAGGGCAAACACACACATGTTCACAAATCTTCGTTTCACAATTCTGTACACTGCCTCCTATTTTGTTTGGGGGGGGGTTAATCCAGTGCTATTTTACAGTGTGAACAATGCTCATGTGTTCACAAAATTCTATACAGGGAAAACAAATATGAGAATTTGATGAAGATGTTCAAGACAAATGTTCTATTAACCAAGCAATTCCACTGACAATGATGGACAAAGTTTTTCAAAGAAATTTGTAAAAAAAATGAAAACGAATTTCATCAAAAATTAGACAAATTCCATCTATGGGGTGTAGGAGGTCATATTGACAAAATAAATCCTACTGTTTTTCATTGTTTTATCCAAAATACATAAATCGTTCCTTAGATGAGACCTGGAGGAATGAACAGGAGTTCGAACAAGCCGCCAAAGTTTTCGTTAGCTCATTAGCGCCAAATTAGAGCGCTGAGTGACCAGTGGAAAAGGCATGGTGACCATCCGCAGCGCAACAGATTTACGACTGCGATAACACGGCTTCATCCACAGGCTGCTTGCCGCTCCTCGTGCAACACCGGAGTAAAAAGGTCATGCATGTTACTGACTTGAGCAAACAAAAAAGGCCACATTGCATGCGCAGTAAAACCCTCGCTGCCAACGTGTGTGCAACATTGTCCATTCAATGTTGCAGACAATTCTGGAACTAGCAGTGTTTTCACCAATTTTTTGACAATTCCCGGGTAAGTTATGGTAGAATGACTGAAACTGGTAGTTGTTGTTTACATTGAAAATACTGTATGAGCTTTTTAATATTTTGAAGCCTTTCCGGATCGTTCCGACTGCTAGAAATTCAGTTGTTTGAAGGTAAAGAATGGATCAACGCCATGATTTACTTCACGTGTGGGAGCGATGAAGAGCGTTCGTAAGTTTTCCTCTCAAAAGTTTGTTTGTGTTCCTGATGTTTCGAATTTCTAAAAGTCCCCAATCACATTTTAGAGTGTTCAATGTGTAAGTATGAGGGGGGTTGTAGATTTGGTCTCTTTTTCTCAGCTAATGCCTGATAAAAATGCCCCAAACCGATCCCTGGTCTTTCCACTTAGGCATGTCTTCCATTTTGTTCATACTCATACGCAATCGTACTGATTTTTACATGCCTTATTTTATATCACTTTTTCGTCAATTGTCCTTCCGATTGTTTCTGTGTACCGTATGCATTGAGTTCCATTCATATCAAGACATATCTATGATAAATCAGATTTTAAGTTCTGGGTAAGGTTTTTTCCCAAAAGAAAATGCATGAAGAAGTTTGACCAATTTTAAATGTTTAATTTACATAATAAAATATAAAATATATATTGATCATAAAACATGTAAATAACTTATTAATACATGTTACGCAGATGTGGCCCTCCGTAGTGAGCATGGAGGAAGGACACCATGGAGGAAGCTAAATGGGCTAAATCTATCATTCCTCAACACATGCTCCGCACTTGTGTCTGATTTTATTTTGAAATGCAATCTGGATATTGTCAGTTATTTATCGGTAATTTTGTTTGAAATTGATTATGATTAAGTATGAAACGGTGACCTTTTTATACTGTTTCTTTCTAAATAAGTCAAGTGACTGAAATCATGGAGGAAGTCCTTCCTCCATGTCATTGCTGAAAAGCGTACATGTACAGGTCTGTATTTCATCAACATTAAAAGAAAGCATTGGTCACTGGCATGCCTGACCAATTCTTCCTTTTGATGTTCTTAGTCCCATAACTCCCCAGAGAAAGGTTGTACATGTATTCACATGAACTTTTCAGCAAACACATAAATGTTTATGCGAAAAAACTTTCTTGAAAAAGTGTTGGGAAAATTTGACAAATGGCACACAGTACATGGAAGCTATTAATCTCATGTGTCCTTCCTCCATGTTAAACTTAATTACGTTATATACGTACATTTGAACATAATCACCTCTCCTTTTTTTTCTTCATAATCATGAAGGAAAGAAATGGGCTTAAAGAATAGTGATGGAAAAAGTAAATTCAAGATTTAAGAGTACAACTTATTTGAAATTATAAAACATAAAATTAAACTTACTTTGTAACATACATTTACTTATTATGTACATGTACACATGTATGTTACTTGAATTTCTTTTGGCTATTGTTTGCACGGCTAAAAGCAGACACAGTTTGATTTACTTTTTTCTTTTTTTTTCAGATCAATCAGTCGATTGACTGTTTCATGACGAGGTCCACTTCAAAATGACTCGACGTCGAGATTGCTTTCAACCAGTTTGCCGGCTCTGTGGTGTGGAAAAAGCCATTCGGGCTGATTGTCAGCCCTTGAGAAAGGAGCAAGTGGGAAAGATAATTTTGGCTGCTTTGGGTGTAGATGTTGCTACTGATGGAGAAGATGTTTTTCCTCCATTTGTCTGTAAATTGTGCCATCTGAAGTTGAGAAAATGGTGGTTGAAGCATCAAAAGATGGTGGATTGCTCCCTCAATACTGACGTAGTGTCATTCAGCAAGGGGAGTCATGATAAGTTCACTCCTTCCCACTCCAACCTGATGGAAGAGAGGTTTGTTTCTTGGAAAGAGATGGCAGAGTGGTTAAATCTGCTTGCATGGCGAGGGGTGAATCTACTTCAGATCATGAGGATGATATCACTGCCATAGATTTTAACCTGCAGAATTGTATTTCTTGTTACACAGGTGCTTAGTGCTTTTGATTGAACAATGCACAGTTTTAGCTGTCTGTTCACTTCATGAATCAAGTTGGCCATATTTGGAGAGAGAAGTTAAAAACAGGATTGTGTGCAACGGACATACTGTTTGGACTTGCAAAAGTCCCCCCCAAACTGAAAATTTTGTGTATTTAAATTTAATGCCGATAATTACAAATGCATGACAGAATATGTACTCTGTAAGCCTGAAAGGAGGGGTTGCAGATTCTACCCCTTGCACAGTTTTTCGAAACATCACTGCATGATTTTTCACGCCGAGTCTCTCAGAGTTTGTAGGCAAACTTGTAGAAAAAAAATCATTTTGGCTCTTTTGTGAAAAATGAGACCTACCATTCTAAAGCAACTTTTGTCAGTCCACAATTTACTTTTCTCGTACTTGTGCTCTGAGATAGCCAGCTGGCAGTCATGTGGCCCCTAACTTAAAATGACCATAATACCAAATTACTGAATTGCACTGAAACGTTACTTTTATATTGATTGTGATTATTCTTGCACTTCAAGTTTCTAAAAATTGGGCATGTGATGGGTAAGTTATAGTGGGGGGTGGAGTCTCCCTTCCCCAAAGCCATGAATGCCCCCTTACAAAAGGGGATCTTTTCTGGTTAAAACAGGGCAGTTGTTCATTTTTTAATGCCAAAAAAATACATCATGGGCACTACAAATTAGCACCAAGGTCATTCTGTGGCTATGTGTCAGTGTCCTACTGTGTAGTAAGGACTGGATAAAGACAATTAATGCATCTAACTAGTTTTTAAACGTTTTTCAAGTTCAGTCATTATGCCTTAGCAATCAACACTGTGTTCCACTTCTTGGTAAATGGGCCTTTAATAAAGTATGCCTTTTCCCATTCTTCTTGGTTCTATCAGTGCACTCCTTCGTCGAGTTTGGGAAGCTGTTGCTGGATACTCCTGGAGGAGATTTCCTGCTCTCTGAGAAGCTGAACCAGGACCTGCTTGAAGAATACTTCAGCAAGCAACGGGGGCAGGCGGGGCTAGCAACAACTCCAATATTGAGCAGTTCAGGCACAATATGATGTCATTGTATGTGGAATCAGACTGTGTCAAGGCATCAAGGAAGGGGAATTGCAGGCTGGACAACAGGGAGCGAAAAGAGGTTGTCATAGACTCAACCCCTCTCCCGAGAAAGAAAGTAATCTTAAATTTCCCTCAGGTGTCCTAATAATCTGATATGAAAATCTTCATAATTTCTACACCCATTTTGCCATCGCAAATATGTCATTGCTACTGATGTAACTTTCAATGTGTGGTAATATACGAGGTGAACCAGATGTCACTCAAAGTGGTGTGCAAATCAGTATGGGGTTAATTCATAAAGTTTTACTTTTTGTCAGAATGGTTCTACTTACAAATTTCATGCTACAGATCAACAAATAAACCCCATCAGATCCATTTCTGTTTTGCACATTAATCCACTCATTTGTGTACTCAAGGAAAGTCTTTGCCATAGTGGAACATGACACTTTCCAACTCTTCAGAAACTTACAATAAATTTGTGACACTTCATTTTTTTCCTTTTGGAACTTGCAATGAAGAGAATATGGTATGTAGCAAGCCACATATCTTAGCATTTGTTCTGCTTCCTTGCTGATGGGTTTACATGAAGTTGTAGCTTCCTCTGGATTGTTGTCTAGAAGGTCTGCTTTATTTCTGTCTATCAATATGAAATTAAGCACAGCCTGCAGAAGATACTGGTATACAATTTCTGTATGCTGCCCATTACCTGTCAGTTCTAAAGATTGCAAAAACAGTGTCCACTTGTCAATACTTTCAAGACGGTATTTGTGAAAGGACCTCCAAATGCACTCATACCCTTCCGGTTTTAAGTATTTACCATCACTCATAATACTGAGGCAGAAATCTTTGAAAATGAGAGTTTCCAAGACATAGTTCAATGAAAGATTAAGACTCATCATGCTAATTGCTATCGGGTAGTTGGATGAAAAGATTGCATTTTTCCTCTGAGAGCCGTCTCCACATAGTCGGTTGCTTTCTTGCATGCATTTTCTTTCATGAAGGTTGACTTGGGACGTTCAACTGTAAAAAAAAAATGCATAAGAACATAAGAAGTACATAAGAACCTGGTATATTATGCAAAAGTGTTTGTCAGCTATCTGTGCTTTCATTTGGACTTGCAGTTTTGATTGTAACTAGTGGTTGGCTGTTAAAGAAACATTTCAGAAATCATCTATGGACATTTGACCAATCATGCATGTACAAAGCATTGCAGTTTTATTCTTATATTTAATGTATCATTGTAACAATGCCGATTTAAACTGTAAAATATTAAATGTACAAAGTTATTTTTCAGCTGTTTAAAAAAAAGAAATCAAATGTTTTGTGTAATTTCGTTTTGTTTGCTGAAGAAAGGGAAGAAATCAGACATTGACAAACCTGTTGTTTTGTCAGTTTCTTTGGCTTCTTTGAGCTCTTGGATTTCTTTTTCTTGCTGGAAGTTGAATCTTTCATATTTGTAACTGATTTATCGCAGGGTGGAGAATCTCCTGGCTCCTTCTCTTTCCTTGATGTACATGTATTGGCATTGCTAGCGGACTCTGACTTGCAAACCTCTGGCATTTTGGACTCATCTGTACAGTCTGATGTTCCACTCATAGGGCATGCTCAACCTGAAAAAAAAAAAATATCACAGTTCATTTTGCAGAATTTGCCCAAGTCTATCCATACTTGGAGTAGGCCTACTCTGAAAAATAAGGAAAACCGTTTCCAACACAGTTGCTCCCTTTGTTTCATCTGAAATAAACAATATACTTGCCAAATGCTAAAAAAGATTCCTCAAGTCAACCGTTATTATTTGGTGGCATTTGAAACTCGATGTTCATGCAACATTTCAAGCGAAACTATTGTATGTTGAGAAGGGTCACATTTCCTTGTACCACCATTTTCTACACTTGTCAAGTAGCCTACATAAAAATCCTCCATGGAGAGTTACACCTGACACTAACGTAATTCCAAAAAGTGGCTCCATTTCTCCTCCAAAACAAGAGGTAAAAATTTTCAATCTGATCGAAAGCAAAAGGGCATAACCATGACAACATACATGACAATTTTGGACGTTTGGTATTAAGGCCCAGAATTATGAAGGAATAGGCCTATGAATTTTTTTTTAAAAACAACCGCAAGCCCATGTGAATTCATTCCAGCCACAGTAAAATGTCAATGTTAAGAAAAATCTAAGCTAAGAATTGAACATGGGCAAAACTTTACCGGCTGTGTACTGCTCGCAAATCCAGGAATCCTCCGGTATCATTTCATATGTCAACCTGGCGCAATCGTAGTGCCACCGCACAACAGAACTAAACTCGTTGTCGCATGCGATCATTTCTGTTGTGGATGGTTCACCACACACACAATATTGACGACCATCATCTTCAGGACATGAATCGTCACTAGTTGGGGAGAAATCGTTCAGCTCATCGTCCGAAATGTCGCTTATATCACTCAAATCTATCTGAAAACAAAGTAGTCTTTCCCGTACGACGCCATTTTGAACACGAAGCTGAGCATGGACAATCCCATAATGCAACACGAAAGTGTGTCCGACCGCAAGGCCAGTCAAGCCTCAAGGCATGGCTGGGTGCTAATAAGATTATGCAGTTTCTTGGTTTTATGACCGCGGCAAGGAACCTTGTGCGTTTGAAGTCCGGCTCATTCGAACTCCTGTTTGTGTCCTTCCTACATGGATGAGACTTCCAAGTAATCAAAAAAAGTAATGAAAAATAACAATTTCACTCCTGTATATCAAAAATGAACAGTGTAATCTACTGGTAAATAATCTAGAGGAAGAGGTAAGTAATTTAAAAATATTTTAGACAATCATCCACTTGAACCTGGAAATTTTTAGTGGACCAGCCCCAGCTACAGGATCCTTTCAGTAAAAACCACCTCCCCCCAAAAAAGCCACCAAGTTTAGAGAACAGTCACAGAAATATCATCAAAAATCTAGCGTAAAATAGTGTTCACAGATCAAGAATCTCCCCCTCCTAATGTGAACTGAGTCTACTTGAGAATACCTACCCAGATTACCAATATTAATTGCATATTTCCCTAGACCATTACGCCATTCACTAAATTAATTTCTAAGTCCCCACAATGTTTTTGGTCTTCAGAAAATAGGTGAAACGCTGAGTGTGTGTCCCCACAACTACAGTACGGTGTGGGAGTGTGTGAGTTTGGTTTGCATTCAATTGAGGGCCCTAAGCAGTAGAAGACGATAAGGCCCTGATTCACAGAGGGTTCTCAATTGACAATTGTGCACAAAAAAGGGCGATCTTCCAAAAAAGTTTTAAGTACGAACAAATGAGGAACAACAGATGGTCCCCAAATGCAGGCAAATACACACTTATGTGGGTATGTGTGTGTATATGCAAGATACGTATACAATGTACACTTGAAACTGCAACCTGAACTAACAAAGTTGTCATTTGCATTAACTGGTTAAGACTATAATCCCCAAGCAATTTCTTACCTGAGCTAATCCACTGAACATCCTTCCCATGGACTTGTAGTCCAGACCTTCTGAGCAGTTAACTACAATCACATAATTGCCCAGAGCTTTGCCCAAGTCCTTGGTAGTCTCTGTTTTACCAGTACCAGCAGGGCCCTTTGGGGATCCACCACGGTGGAGATGAAGAGCAGTGGTCAGAGTGATGTAACATCTATACATAAATGTGACATTCAAATTCTTTACTGATTAACTTGAATCATTTGCAATTGCCTAACATCATTTATTAAATGAAGACAGGATTACTATTGATATTTTGAGAGAATACATTTGTCAATATACAATCACTGCAAGTAAAACACTTTGCCAAGCAGAAACGCTGTTCTGCTCATTAACTCATTTTGGACAGTATTATTCCACAGCAGATATTTCCCAGATGCAGATTGATGTTTAGACGACTTTTCAATCTACAAGATACCACCACCACACCCCTTTACAAAGTTGGACTTTACAAATGCTGAACCCTGGCGGCAGTTTGTTTAAGATTTATGCAACAATTCTTTGCACATCATCCCTTTTTTCTGCAACTCCAAGACAATGTCAGAGAGTGATATTTGCTACATGACTCTGTCATGGCACAAACATGCTGAAGGGCTCCACACACTCTTACCCTCCACACATCAGCTTAAGCCAATGGATGCTTTTAACCACTTCATGCCGGGGCGTTTTTCAATGTTGATGATGCTGGGCCGGCATGACTATCATTTTTTCTGTTTTCAAAATCCTTCAAAAATTCATCATTTCATTTAACGGTCATTTATAGCCGCACAAAGTAATCTTCAGGCACTACTCTAAGTTGACAGGTGACCTTCATTGATTCATTGACGCCCGAGTATTTCAGCCAGGCCTGAAGCCTTGTAAACAGAGCCCAGATTGTGCGAACCTAGCTCAGTGCACTGCTGACCTCTTTTCAATAGGGGCCAAATTAGCGTGCAGCGGTGCTGTGTGGCTCATCCCTGCGGTGGTGGAGCGCTTTTGTCCCCGGTGGTAATCCGCTTGCTCTCAATGCCCCAAACCCTGGAATACGGTTTCAAAACAAGGCTGGATTATCACCACTTTTGAGAGTGCAAAATGTTGGTAATGCTGAGTTCGGAGACCCCGGCCATGCATATAAATGATACGTCTCTGATTCCAGAGTCCCCTGCAGGAAGTGGTTAAAGATGAAGGAATTTACCAGTGTTTAAGCATGGGGATGAGTACGGATGTCATCCAGCAATGCATAGAAAATTTGTCAGGAAAATATTAAACATCCTCTGGGTTACAGGCCCAGCAGCCAATTTAAAAAACTTTACACAGGGGTGTAACTAAAATTATGCCACATTTCAAGAAACTTAGGCTACAATTTGTGCTGCAACTTATGCAATCATTTTTGGTGGTGCAAGTTGTACCATATAAATCAGAAATGAACAATTTTACTTAGTAATCCTGTTCAGTTTGAGGCTCGTCATTGCTAAACTTTACAAGGTTTATGCCAGAAGTGTAAAAATTGTTTATGCAGCCAATGAAAAACTTGTTTGGCTGTTTAGGGCACTTCAAGATTTTCTGATTTAGACTGTCCATACATAAAAGGGAATGTCAGGGCTACGGGTCTTGCATGTCCTCGCATATTCCAGGCTATAAAGCCCTAACCTGAGGATAACTATATAACCTCAGTGCATAATGCAAGCAAGGACGGGCTTATATTATTTGCTGAGAACATTTGCGATGGGTCCGCAACTAGCCCAGGTTGGAGGTTGTCTTCATTTCATTACGACTAACATCCAGGATGATATAAAAGTTGTGTACACAACGACCACAAATTTGGTTCTAATTTGTTCTTGGTTTACTTTGTTGAAGAAACAAGTTTTTCATGTTTTCCATTTTTTCATGGCCTTATCTATCCATCTGGTGGGTTTAGGAATTTCAGAACGAACCATGGACTGCAAAATCAAGGAAAATAAGTGCAAGAAAATGTAACTTTTGCAGATGTAATTCATCCTTTCTTGAGTCTAGTTGTATAGTGCACGCACCTACAGTGCAGGAATCTGAGCGCGTGCACACACTACACATGCGCAATTTCCAGTGAAGGTCTGTCGTTTGCCTGTTACACGGAGGCCGTGACTGGTACCCGGCTTTAACCTGCCTGCCATTGAGCTGATATAAAATATGCAGTTCCATTTTTGTCAAGTTGGGGGCTTCAGACTGACCAATTAACCCACTATCGTATTGGTTACCCCTTTCAATGTTCATATTTTGTTCTGCTTTAAATTTCAGTTTATAAACATAAATTTGCGACACAACCTGCTATTTTATAAGAATAACCTCGGTTAGGGTAGAAGGCTTTATATATGCAGGCTTCTTGTAGTTGTACGGGAATAAATTAGGTTCATCAACCAACGATCTCTCTTTGACGTGTTTAACATGTTTAATTTGTTCGTAGAGTTTTATTAGTTAAAGATGTATAAATACACAATATTGTAGAGATCCAATTTTTATTAAAATGAAACGGTAACTTATCTTGATAATTGAGGAATAAAAAGAGGATTACATTGCGGGCATGATGATCGTGATGAACAGGCGAGAGCGATGCTGTACTGATCGGAAATACAATATACAGAGGCAGCACTGGCGCGCACACGTGTGGTAAGTCGCAATCATGCACAAATCGTGCTGTTGATCGTGCCAAAGCCTTGCTGGTAATACCCTCTACCCTCGACACAGAACTGCCGGGTCCCTTAACTTCTATCGAATTTTGTGGACACCTTTTGTCTACACCTTTTGTTGACACCTTAAGTCTACCTGTTAACCACTTCATGCCGGGGCGTTTTTCAATGTTGATGATGCTGGGCCGGCACAACTATCATTTTTTCCGTTTTCAAAATCCTTCAAAAATTCATCATTTCATTTAACGGTCGTTTATAGCTGCACGAAGTAATCTTTAGGCACTACTCTAAGTTGACAGGTGACCTTAAATGATGCCCGAGTATTTCAGCCAGGCCTGCAGCCTTGTACACAGAGCCCAGATTGTGCGGTGTTATGCAACTTTCTTTTGTTCACGAACCTGGCTCAGTGCACTGCTGAACTCTTTTCAATAGGGGCCAGATTAGCGTGCAGCGGTGCTGTGTGGCTCATCACTGCAGTGGTGGAGCACTTTTGTCCCCGGTGATAATTCCCTCGCTATAAATGCCCGAAACCCTGGTATACGGTTTCAAAACAAGGCTGGATTATCACCATTTTTGAGAGTGAAAAATGTTGGTAAAGCCCAGCAGCCTGGTCTTTTGTCCAGAGTACAGTCTTTTGTTACAGGGCCCTGTTTCCTTTGTCCAAGTTCGGAGACCCCGGCCACGCATATAAACCATACGTCTCCAATTCCGGAGTTCCCGGCAGGAAGTGGTTAACACATAATACGTGCTCAAAATGGCTAGGATTTGTACAAATCATGAATTTTAACTTTCCCGTACTGGCCGTAGTAAACTCAGCTTGCGTGTAGGTAACTAGGCCAACTGTCAAGCCACAGCCTCGCCCGGCCAGATGTTGTGTGTACTCAGCATGGAGATCAATGGTACTTGTGGCTGAGAACCACGTTGTGAGTTACATTTTTTATGTGAGCATTTTTGAAACCAGCGGATTCGGTTAGACTTCAGTTTTGCTGGTTCCAGTCAGAACATGTAGTTTGATGTGCGTGTACGCAGCTCAGAATCTCATACGCCAAATAGTTGCGCGCACACACTGTATGAACTGCACTAGAGAACAGCTGAAAACAGTCCACAACATTGGTGAGAATTAACATTACGTAAGACTTTATTGTCCTGTTTTCGTATTTGGTGGTGATGTGTCGAATTTCTTATAAACCCACCAGCCATGGAGATAAGGACACAGAGGTGTTACAGACGTGCAATTGGCTCCTTGGAAAAGGTAGAAATGTTGCAAATTTTAGTTGCAAAATTTTTCACCCGATTTTGCACCCTTTATACCCGGGACTCCCTCCGTAACGTAGTACGGTCAGGGAGTCCACCTGGGCTAGGTCTGCAACCAGACTATTACAGCTGCAAGATCAAGAAACCCTGGGAAATGCTAGTAAGAACCGTATAATGACATCATCAAATTGCTAAATTTGTTTGCTGCCCTCGCAATGCATTTTTTTTCCTCTGAGCATTTTTGCAGTGGAACTGAACTCCCCAAATGACAACTTTTTATAAATGTGAGAAGCTGCCGCTTTAGTCATTGCATGGGTGCTAATGACAAATTCTCTGTTTAATAACCTTTCTAATTGTACAATAAATGGGAATATAGACATCCGCAACAACTTGTCTCGTGCACTCCGTTAATTTTGGTATACGCTGTGACAGTGAAAATATGAAAGTATTGTTTTTTTGCAGACATGACAGGGTCAGCCCCTGTTCTTCTAAGAAGTTTAAATTTTTTTTATGTGATATAAGAGACTTTCATGTCAGGAAGTATGTATCAATCTTAGCATGCAATAATAATTAATTGGAACTTTAAGGCATATTTTCCAAACAAATCTTAAATCAAGGAGAGTGACCATACTTACCTGTCTGTTAGAGGAGTAATGACTAATCGACCAGAGTTGCCAAGGTACTCATAACCGTACTGGAACTGTGTGTTGGTTTGGCGGACTACACAGTCCTCAATCTCTTTATCCCAGTACACTCTCAGTTGGCTTAGCCACTCAAACGCTGTCACATCACTCACACCAGATTTGATTAGCTTCTCAATGACATCACGTGCGTGTACTTCAATGGTCACCAGGGCAACTACTTTGGCTCTCATCATCTTGGTCAGGTTGCCTCGAACCATCTCAGAAAACTTGTTTAACATTGACACCTTAAAAAACAGAAAATGGAAATTTGACTACTGAAGCAAGGGACACATATTGTACCATTTTCTTTATAATACCTCATTCATCAATGCTTACAAGAAGTCAGCCTGACCCACTTATCAATACCTAAACATTTTTTAATCACAACCAACACAATGATAAGAACTGAAATTTGCATCATCAACTTCTTCAGTTACAAACACAATGTTATTGTAGACTACTAAATAATACACAAAATCATCATGCGGGGACTTTCTTTCAGACACTTTTGTTACTTTGTGAGATTCACAACTAGGACCATGAGATTCAACAGATCCCATAGATCCCACAGCTAAGCTCTCACAGAGAGCTTAGCAACAATATCTCCAATTCCTGTGTGGTTTCATACAAACATGTTTGATCCTTCAAAATCAATTAGGTTTGAAAAATACTGCAGGACCGAGCAGGGCACAATATACATGTATGTGGTTCACAAATTTCTAGAGACTGTTTTTGTTTGTTTCGTTTGTTCGGATGTTTGTTTTCCATACAATGCCACACTCAGAATGAAAACTTGTCAAATACTATTATTATGTTCGGTATTATTCTAAAACTGAGATAAAAACTGCGGAAGGAAAATAATTTTCAATTCATGATAAAAGCTGTTCTAAGTATCTTCTTGAACAAATTATAGCTTGATTCCTAAGGATCTCTATTCATTAGGGTCTCTCTTGTTTTTACCTGTTTTTTCTTCATACTCTTGAGTGCCTTCTTATCCCCTCTCTCTTTGGTAGTGAACAGTGCTTTTGTAACATCAGCAGTCCACTGCATCTGACTTGATGTGATGAGCATCTGCCCAGGCCAATCTTTTACCCACTTGTCACGTTTGCTGAGGGACTTTTTAAGTGCAACTTTGCACTGTTTCAGAACATCTTTTAGGGTCCAACGCATTGTTCGTTCTATGTCACATAACCATGCCTGTCATAAAATACATTCCAACATAGTCATTTGAAAATAAAATTAAGTGGATAACATCCTTCATAATAAAATTAAGTAAACAACTCCAAAACAAACAGAAACACACACACACAAAATTAAAACAAAACAAAATTTTTGTGTCTAGTACTTAACAAAGATGCCATATTCTAATATTATCTATCTTTGGCAATGAAATAAACCAAAAGTCATTCAGTTTTTAAGGATTTTTATTTGATTTTTTTTTAATACAATCAGAGAGAACATTATCACTTCATCACTGCATTATCATTGTGGACTGATTGACAAAACAGCAGATGAGACACTGCATGAGAATTGCTCTTTAAACTGTACAAACTACGGTAGAATCTTGGTAGGTGCCGGCAATACTTCACATTTCAAATGCATGCCAATTGTAAATCATTCCTGTGGATGACTAGCCATTTTACCAAAACATCCAGTGTCACGATGGCATTGGACTCCTTGGTAAAACTAGTAAAAATGATGAATACTGTTACCATTTGATGTTCAAGTGCAAGCACTACAAGTAAGCAAAGCTGCAAGTCAGATCTTCTCTGGCTAACCAATCTATTACTTCTTCATGCCATGCACTCATTTTGTGTTAATAGTAAAAAAAATTATTCACTTTTAACTCCTTAATTTAAAAGAGGGAAAAGTGTGATCAAGGTAACAACTTAAAAAAAAATCCCACACAATTTCATTATATCTAAAAGAGTTTTCTTATGAATAATGTTCAATTATATACAAAAAAAGCGTTAATTAACACTTTAAGCAAATGTACGAGGGTGCTGAAAGTAAAACTGCTGTTACATGCCAAAAATGGCATACTTCCAATTGGATGCCATCTTGAAATGAGCAAGGCGTCAGTGGAAATATATTCAGTATAATGAACAAACACCATAAAAACATTTTTTGTGGACCCCACTCCATTTGTGTGTAGCAGCAGTGTAGTGTAAACAGTATGGATCCTTTTTGACACTTTGATTTTACAAACAATTATCATTTACAAGTGCTTTGGTAAAACTGATTTTATAAGAAGACAGACTGAGTATTGTTCTATTAAGAAAATTGCTCCTCAAGTTTCTTTGAAGAGATCTTTGTTAGATGATGTTTGGATGTAACACCAGTATTTACCAAATTAAAAAGTAAACAATCTTTGACAAGAAATACAAACCTCAACTGGGCCCTCCAGTAACACAGGGTGGCCAAAGTCAACGTATTCTCCATCCGCAGAGTACATTCCTTGTGCTTCAAACTTCTGTGTAATTCCCATTTTGTGCATTTTGAGTGACTTTATGTTGTCAAAGCATTTCTTCAGGTGAGGCTGTACAGCTTCAGGGTTCTTAGACTGACCAAGTATCTCCAAAAGATCGTCATTTGACAGGAAGTAGAACCTAGGGAAGATCTGTCTCTTTGTCTCCAGATACATATCTAGAGACTTTTGGATCTCTTCAAGCTTGCTGTTCATTTCATTCAAAGTTTCGAGCAGACCTGAAAAAAAAATCAAAACAACATAATTCATATCACAGAAGGACTGAATATCAGGTAAATATTGCAACCATGCCATAGATGTTTAAATTGTTTAGCTTTTATATGTCAACCAAATGTTACACAATTAGGCAGTTTTCCCAACTGTGAGGACTACATCTTCCACTTGAAAATAACCTCGTAAGTACTATTAGCTTTTAACATTAACATGAAATGAAGGTGTTTAGGTGCAGCAGAAGTAAATGTTCTGCTGTACAATCCCTATGACACACATTCAAACACCCCCTCAATGGCAAAGAGAAAGGCTTGTGGGCAACTGAATCTACTGGGAAAGATATACACTACATTTCAAGGAAATGTGTTCCAACTTAAATCAATCACATGTGCTCTTTCATGCACACAAAGTTACATGTGCCCACCAGCACTTTCCTAATCAGGGTTACACAAAGATGTATTAGGGAGTTGGTTAGTTACCTACTGTAAAGAGACATTTGCAATGTTCAAGAGCACCTTTTGCTTTTATGATAAATCTGAGTCCATAAACAGTGGTACATTTTTCTTTCCTTTAATTTTTTGGAACTAAGGATCAGAAGTTGCCTCTTGGTGGACACATTTTCAGTACACTTTGCGTCTGCACACACAAATTTATGAACTCTGCCAACTGAGATTGCACAGTAATGAAAACTAGGTATTGTACATGGGTATTGTACACAACTACGCAGAGGATCAAAACATACATATTAAAAACAGCTTGATTATCTGTCAAGCAGGAAACTGATAGGTTAGTGCTATCACAGCACACTTCTTGAATCTTTTCAACTACAAAAGCCACTTTGATAGCTGTGCTTGACAAGATTAATTTGCCTTTCACATTCCATTAATTAACATGCGATTTAGACATTAAAAACCAACTGCAACAGTTTTAAAAGTTTTGAAAATAAACTATGATTGTGTTTATTGTGTAATAAATCATAAATTCATTACCAAATCATGTCGGTATTGCATCTGTATTTTACGTAATCTTGCCACAACTTTTGAACGGCACAATCTGATAGCTGGTGGCACTGCTGTGAAACAGAATTGGTATGATGTTGCACCAGAGAAAACATTGAAACAAGTAGTCTGAGGTAGGCTGGATCCCTATTGTATCTATAACAATGTATGGCAAGTAGCCACCGCCTCATTAGAGAACGTATAATACCAAATCCAGAATGTGAATTTTATTGATTTTCTGGGGTGCAGCATGCAAAAACCATGTCCATTACCTTTTTAAACAGTCAACATTTCAACAAGCCTCTACATTTTGGCCATTCCTATGGCATCTGCATAAATCCATGGTGGTAAACACATTACAGTCTCAACTACATGTACTGCATTTGTAATAAACAACCAAATCCACCACTCATACCTAGCCAAACCACAAGATATCATAGGTCTAAATGAGCAAGAAGATTGTATGCTGCACCATCCTGTTGGCAAACAATCTCAGAAGTTTGAAATGGACCTCCCTGAATGTGAAACCCACTTTTGCGACTCTCTGGCCCAAGAGCTGGAACTATCCCTTGAGAAACATAAGAAAGGTGTACCAGGCAAGCCCACCAGTCCTCAACTCTATGAAGAAGACTTCACCTTCGTACACCACCTCTTACCGATTCAAGAACTAGCTCATTACCACCGTCATCTGAACTCCCAAATCAAATGTTTGAAAACCTCAGTTGCCTACAAACACTGCCACTGCCATATGAGGCAATAAAACAGTGATCCAAAGTGTTTCCAGGGGCCTTGAAAACATGTTAAACTTCTAGCATCAGTGGGATTGAATCAAAACGGCCTAAGTACCGCTAATCACTCACAGTAGGGAACCTGAAAGGGCTTCAAAATGTAAACTCATCCCCATAGTAGTGTGGGAGAGTCTGCTAATGAAAACTTACCCCAAACAGTCGCTATATATCCAAATTTCCTTTGTGCCTTATTTTATTTGTTAAAACTTTGATCAACTGAAGTGTGCCCCCCACTATCACAACGCATTGTGGTGCCGCGCTGACATGTTTGTCATCCTTTTTTGGACCGTAAGGTCTGAGCCAGAGTGGGGAAGATGGAAGGGCGTTGACTGTTTGGGTAGGTATTCGTTAGCAGACTTCCCACTCTACTGTGGGGGAGAAGTCCACTGTATTCATCTTATCCAAACGGTTGCTACATTTACCATACTCTGGAAGAGGGTTTGTGAGGAGGCATTAAAAGTGAGGAAGATGATGTGAAATGAAGAGGACCCACCAAAGAAAGGAGTAGGCCATTAGATAGAGTTGGAGGTGGCTCACTCAGCATTGGTGCTCTTGGTCTTGGTGAAGAGGCTAGTATTAATGGTCTTGTCATGCAAGAACTCATTGCAAGACTCTATTCACGTAGCATGATAGTGTTTTCTAGCATGCTACTCAGTAGATATTTTCCGAAGGGACAAGGGCGAGGGAAGTTGGCAAGGTAGGTACCACTCTAATGTCCACTCTAAAGCCAGAATGGAGCAAAGAGAAGACTATAGCAATGCTCCCAAACGATTCCGACAGAGCCGCTGGGATGATGGGTAAGCGCATAAGCAAGTAACCTTTCCCAGTGGAAATTAAGGGAGGATGGCTGTCGCCCAAGTTTGTTGGTGAGGTAACCTCGTGCACAACATCAGCAGCTGAACGCTCTCTGTCATGGACAAAGTTCATGTGAACTGTCGAATACCTTAAGGATTAACATAGCCACATTGTGATGCAGAGTCTGTTCCATTGGGTGAATCTTTCTCTCAGAGCGCACGTCTGCAGGTGTGGTAATATTGGCAGTCAGGATATTGGTTGCCTTCATATCAATCCCAAAGTCCAACATATAGGGAATAATTGTCTGATCGGACGGGACAGATTTGCCCAGGCGGTTGTATAAAAGTGACAAATCACACTGAAGGTCACCCAGACTTCCGGAATGTTGAGCAGGACCGAAAAGTTGCGATGATAGCTGATGAAGAAGCAGCGTGGTGTTTGAACAAATGCAACTTCCTTGTAGAAGACCAGAAAAAGAAGATGTGGAATGTCTACGCCTCTTACGCATCGGAGAGTTTGCATAAAAATTTGCAGACAAGGCCATCTGACGGGAGGTCCACAAGTGTTCTTCTGGACATCTCCAAGGAAAAACCTGGAGGGAGAAAAGACTTGGGGAGTGTGGAAATCACAGCGGCGCAGCAGGCCAGTGGGTTCGGATGCTCAAGGTATAGACTGGGGAGATGTGGCTGCAGATTTGCATTCCGATGGCGCATTCACCAGGACAGCCCCAGGGAGTGATGGGGAGTTGACTTGGTAGTGCTATTGACTGGTTCACGCCTGGGTAACCCATTGATGTGGACTTAAATGCCAGTGGGATTAGACGTGTAGCGGTCATCTGGATTGTCAGGTGAGGTGTTGACTGTGAGCCTACCACTAGCAGTGGGAAACATCTCAGTAGGCAACGATGGAGATGTGGCATTGGATCCGTATTCCAATAGCACATTCACTGAGCAGTAACAAAGGGAGTCAGGGAGCCCTTTTGTCTGGTCCATGCATGAATGTCCACACCAAAGAGGACTCTGATGTCAAAGGGCTTAGGTGTGTACCTGCCGCTTAGTTTAGTGGGTGAGGAGCAGACTCAGCTCCACGCAGGCCTCAGTGAGCCATTACCAGTGATGGAATGGTTGACAGTCACCAGGCCTCCGCTCTCTCCAGCCTGCATTACTCGGACACCCTCAATAAAAGTGACATTTTATTGATTGTACAGAAACCATCAGTATCAACGGTTAGTGCACAAACCAGACTGAGCCAATAAGGAAACCGTGCCCATGGTTTGTGCAATGATAGAACATAGCCAATCAGAACGTTGCACAGTCACCTTCGATCCCTGCAATCACCTTCAATCCCTGCCCATGCCAGCCTTCACGATGGAGGCTTACATAACGTTAAATATAAACAGCAGGTGCTAGTCTGGCTGTAAGGCTCTGCAAGTGCTATGAGCAAGCTGTTTTTGTAATGTAATATACAGTGTATTATGTAAGGCATCGTGTATGTGTACGTATTCTTATTAGCATGTGACTTCGAGTTTGGCCACTGATTGATTATGCAACATTGTGTAACCAAGCTTGCTGAGCATGGTCACTTTTGAAGGTGGCGCATGAACCCGCCTAGGCATTATGTGCTCTCTTATTGGTCACATCTGTCAGTACACGGACCATCGGCGCTGTTTTCTTATTGGCTCATTCCGGTTTGTGTACGAACCACCAGTAGTGATGGTTCGTGTACAATCAACATGTAACTTTTATCAAGAGTGTCCGAGTAATGTGGACATCTGCCGTCGGGCCTGCACTCTCCTGCAACGAAGGTAGGCTGCGTATTGCACACAGGCATGGCGGGGGGGGGGGCAAGGCAACGTCAGCTCAGTCGGCAACCCTGCATCTCGGTAGGCTGCTGTAGGGACGGGTTGTGGATCTGTAGTTTCAGATTCAGAATGCCCCAAAAAGAGATGGGAGTTGGCCCAAGCAGCATTATTCTGTTTCACGCCTGGGTGCCCCCGGTGAAGAGATTTCGGATGTCAATGGGCTGATAAGTGAAGTGGCCGATGGGGCTGATAGGTGTGTCTTGGTCAGCCATACCGGAGGTGGAGTGGTTGGAAACAGTAGGCTACTTTTTTCTTGTTGTCAGTGCCAAGCCTTTACTGTCTCTCCCTGGCACTGGCAACTGGCATTGGGCCTCTGTTCTCTCTGGCCCGGAACATGTGCCATACGCACTGCAGCTCATTACCTTGTGCATGGTTGTTGACTCATGCCAGTTCTGACCAGATAAAGGGCTGGTCAAAGTGAACCATTAGCACAGTAATCACAAGTATCGGCTTAGACCTCAACACCTCAATCTTATCGTTGACAGCCTCTTGTCAGTCTGGGGGGATAGTTGAGGACTGCTAAACATGTCAAGCCCTCAACTGTCCCGAGTCGCCTGGTTGACCCT